GAGGAGGAGGAAGAAGAAGAAATAATAATAATAATAATAATAATAATAATAATAATAATAATAATAATGAAGAGAATGAAATTGAGACAGAAAGCCATTTCTGGATGGGGATTCTGTGAGAATAAATACAAACCCATAGAAATAAATACAGAAATTCTGAGATATTATATAGACTACTCCACCCAGCATGGCATATACAACATTTAGTGAGTTTTAATAGAGACTAAAATATTGTATTTGTATATATACATTTCATGTTGCATTTTAATCACATTTAATACTCTTATTCCTCTTTGATGCAATGCTACATACAAATTTTAAATTCTTGAGAGACAAAATTGAGCCATCTATGGCTTAACACAAGTACCAGATAATGGAGAAGGAACCTGTTAATAATTCTTGATATTTGCTCTCTTGCTTCCTCAAAAATAAATGTCTTTAGTCTTGATTTGATGCACTGTCATCTAAAGCTCACATCATTTCTCAACTCCTCTTGCAGCTGGTTTTTGCATGACTAAATCCTTACAGGTGGAAGTGAGATCTATTACTTCTATGCAGTGTCCTTCAAGTCAGGGGATGTTCTCTTTTCCTTCCATATATATCTGTCTAATGATCAGGTGGTGGAAGTGAAGGAAGTATCTGGAGATGTTATCTGATACCAAAGATGGAAGATACATTAGCACAGTAGACCAAGTGTTTAAAGATATAGATATATATCTGATGAGTCACGGAACCACCCTGAATCATTTTCCAGTTAAAGACAATATGGTGTGTGCATATATGTGTGCATGCATGTGTGATTGTGTGATATACATCGAAACCTAATCATAAGCAATACAGAAGGTAAGAAATAATTCTGCATAATGTTCACTCCTGTGATATTCTCATGAACCCCCCAAATGCTACTAGTAATTGTGGAAGTATATTCTTTTGTAATTAATCCATGCTTCTATTAGAGAAATAAAAGATGACTCTGAGAATGTTACCATAGTATCTAATATTAAAATGTATTTATTCTCAAATTACTTTCATAAACAGTTTTTATACCCTTAATGCATTAACAAATGATTGGAAAGATAATAAAAATTTCTTAAGTTGTCATTCTATATTTATCCCACTAGTATAAAAAAATCTCTGGATATCACTTGCTTAATTCTTAGAATATTGTCTTAAAATTACATGCATACATAAAGCTTTTAAAACAGAAGCAATAGAAACTCAATGCATACACATACATATGTGTGTTACACATTAGTTTATATATACATGAATATTACTTACATACGTACCCAAATATGGATATCTTTATTGAAATATAAAATGAGGTAAGAAGATAAGAACCATTTAGTAAATATTTAGTACATATAAATCAGAAAGAAAATGTGTTCAAGGTTTCAAACTGTGGAATATCTTTTTCTTTCTCATTACAAGTTTTGATTTTATACATTTTATACATTGAGGTGTTCATGTCACATGTTGGACAGAAAGCTGATGACAAAGCAAGCATTGTTTTATGTCTGTTGGATAAGACAGATGCTTAAAAGATATGATCTTACCAGGTTAAATGTTTGTGTAGGGTTAAAGAATAATAAATAACCTGAGCTCTGCCTCAGGGCACAGCATAACAGAGAAGCAGGGGAGAATATGCTGTTACTTAGAAATATCCATGTTTGTTTCTTCAATACAACATTTTTTTTTGTTAATTCTGTAAAGCTTACAGGCATAAGGAAACACAAAAATGACTTGCTACCTAGAAGTGGCTCTCACATAAAACAAACTCTTGGTCTCTAAAGACTCAGAAACTCTGCTGAAGATGAGAAAAATCATCTAGGTAGTGCTACCACCATCTAGAAATGGATGTCACATAAGATAGAAATATTTGGACTCTAAAATCTGAGAAATTGATGGAGAAAAATGAGAAATATCATCTGGGAACTGTACCATGGCAGAAGGCAGGGGAGCTGAGCAACTTGTTGATGCCACTATTCTTAGAATATTGTCATATGAGCCACTGAGACTTGTTGATGGCAATAGCACTTCTCAGGAGGAGTATCTCATTTTTTTTGGTGGTTGTTTTCCAAAGCACCAATGGGAGCTTAATACAGCAAAATGAGAAAAGAAAATTTATTGGCTGAAAGTCTCCTACATGAACCATAAAATAAGTAATTTTTATTAATTAATAGTGAATTTAGATAGCACTTATCTGACTTTTAACTTTTCCTTCAGGTTAAGTAAAATATAAATGCATTAGCTAAAAGTGCTATTTCTCAGTCTGAGACTCTACACAAGGGATTGGAAAATGAAGCACTAACTTCTTGGGTTATAGAGTAATGTGCAGAGAATTGTCAGAAAAATAGAAGTGGTAACATACTCCCAAAATACTCAAGCATGGAATGTTGCATGGATACATGTCTAAATGCACATAACATTCAGTCTTGCTTTTTATTGTCAATTTCTTCCATTCCATTGTTATCTCCTGCATAGAAATGTACTCATCACATTTTATGTGCATCAATATTCCTTAGTTTAGTTGTTTACACTTTGTAAGAATTAGAAGTTATATTTTGTATAATCTATTATTTATATCACAATTTCAGAACTGCTTTCCAATATATTTAGTTTAAAAAGTCAGGTCCAGAAAATATTGAGACTATCAAAGAATAATGACCATATGTATTTATTCTGTGATTTAAGGTAATGAGTTTTGCCTAAAAAGACCCATGTCCCAAATGTATAAAACATTAATGACCATGTGGAGGATTTGAAGAACTGTTTAAAATATTTAGAGGAGTTACAGATTATCCAGGGCAGATGGAATCTGGGATTTCCCAGTGGGGTGCTATCCTCAATGTGTCTGATCTTGTTTATCCAGTCTTACCCTTGGCACTGATTTTTTCTTTTTTCTTCCCAAATAATCAAGTACTAGCAATAATCTCATGACTTGGGGACATTCCTTTTTTCTTCCCCCAGAATTGCTTCCTTACTGAATCTGTACAAATTACAATTATTTTCCTAAAGCAAAATAGCCTCTTTCACAAACTTCTCTTTTCAAGAAGTTTATTTAGGGCCACTTTGACATCTTTATTCCTCAGGCTGTAGATCACAGGGTTCAGCATGGGCACAACAGTTGTATAAAACACAGATGATACTTTCCCTTGATTCGTGAAGCTGACTGAGGATGGATGCAGGTACATGAATGCCAGGGAACCAAAGAAAAGAACAACAGCTGATATGTGGGAGCTGCAGGTGTTGAAGGCTTTGGCTCTGCCCTCGGTGGAGCGAATGCGAAGGATGCTGGCTATGATGAAGATGTAAGAGCCAAGGATAGTCAGGGGTGGAACAAGGATATTAAATGCACTTAAGCATAAAACTAGTAACTCATTGATAAAAGTGCTGGAGCAGGAGAGCTCCAGTAGTGGAAAAAGATCACAGAAATATTGGTTTATTGTATGAGCATTACAGAAAAGCACTCTAAGCATGCAGGCCGTGTGAACTGTTGCGCCAATCAAGCCCATGCTGTATACCTCAACCACCATCCAGGAGCATACTTGATTAGACATGGTTACATTGTAAAGCAAGGGGTTACAGATGGCAACATAGCGGTCATATGCCATTACAGCCAACATGTGACACTCTGCAATAACGAAAACAAGGAAGAAGTAGAGCTGAGTCATGCATTCAGCATAGGAGATGGTGTTTTTCTCTGTCACAAAGTTTACTAACATTTTAGGGGTTATCACAGTAGAGTGGCAGAGGTCAATGAAGGAGAGACTGCTGAGGAGATAGTACATGGGTGTGTGCAGGTGAGAGCTGAGCCCAATCAGTGTGATCATGCCCAGGTTCCCCACCACTGTGAACACATAGATTCCTAGGAAGAGGAGGAAGAGGGGCAGCTGGAGCTCTGGTTTGTCTGTTAATCCAGCCAGGATGAACTCAGTCACTGTGGAGAGATTCCCTTGTGACATTTTCTTCTGAGAATTCTAAATAGGAAGAGAAAAGAATTTTTGAAATAAGTATTTATTGTGAAGTCACACAATGGAATATGAAATAGAATCCAAATCTTTTCACACAGAGAATCTTCATTTCACATCTTCTCCTTCATTGTTAGCTGTCAATGATGTTGCAATAACAGCAATATGTGACACAGACATAAGTATAAGAAGAAACTTTTTCTATTTGTGCTCTCTGATTTACTATTTGATATTCAGTCCCTGAAGTCCCACAGAACTGTCCTGAAAACTTTGATTGAGTTATCCAAGTAGTTCTCATGCATTATATATAATCTTTTCAAGTGGAAGAAAGTACCTTTTTATGGTAAAATAACAACAGCATGCTAAAAAAAATCAATATTACACATAATGATGAAAGCACTGAAAATCTTTCTTTCTAAGATAATGAACAAGGAAAAATATTCATTCCCTGTGTTTTTATTATATTTAGTGATGACATTAGAGGTCTGGCAATGACAATCAGGAAAGAAAATTATATGAAAATTTAGATCAGAAAAACTATCTCTTCTTATAAATGTCATAATCTCATACATAGAAAATCCTAAAAATATCTTTAAAAAGAACTGTTAGAATGGATTGAAAAGTGAAACAAAGTAGTAAAGAATCAACCACATAACCCAGTTGTTTTTCTACACAAAACTCCACTTGCTATAGCATGGAAAAATGAATATGAACAAAACAAACAAATGAAAGAAATGCAAGTTATTCCTCTAAAATTAAAGAAATAACTATAATAACTATTACTGGGGAGGGACTGCCATTAATGGAAAGACATCCATGTTCATAAATCAAAAGGCTCAAACTTTTTATTCAGTGTCATCCTTTCCAAACTCCCAATTCTTCTTGTTTGTTTGTTTTTGTAAGCATTGCCAGACTGATGATATCATCTTTCTCAAAATTCAAAGGTATCAGAGTAATCAAAACAAATTTGAAAGAATAAAGCTGGGGGTTTCACATTTCCCCATTTGAAGCCATACTACAAAGTTCCACTTCCCTATTTGGAATCTTATTACAAATTTACAGTGATCAAGATGATGTGGTTTTGTCACAAGGATATGCACACAGATCAATTTAAGAGTATCAATCCAAAAGTAAATAGACCTCTGTGAACAACTGAGTTGTTATTTGGATTCCATGTCAATTCAATATGAGAAAAAACTTTTTTTCAGCCAATGTTGCTGAGTCAATTAAAAAAATGTATAATTTGGGCTTGGAAATGTAGTGCAGTGGTAACACACTTGCCTAGAAGGATGAAGACCTGGGTTCAATGTTCACTATTGCCAAAATAATAATAATAACAGTAAAAAATAGTTACAATAACAACAATAATAGTAATAATAATTTAGATCTCTTTCTCACATTCAATAAATAAACTACAAAATGCTCCAAGAACTAAAAGAAAAAACTCACTTTATGATAGTAATAATAATAATAAATGACTGACTCATTGAAGTCTAGGATTTGATGATGTTTTCTCAGACAAGATGCTAAAACCAGAGACCACCATAGAAAAAAATAGTTAGAAATCATTAAAAAAGTTAAAAAAAAAGAAAAAGAAAAATGTGTACATTAAAGAACAATATGTACAGTAATTCTGTAAAACACATATATGGAAATTACTTTTTAGTAATAATAGGTTTTTGGAATACTAGTATAGCAGGGAAGTACTCATGGTCAGTTTACATAAAGAACTCTTAAATTTAACAATGAAAAGGACAAACAGCACAGTGGAAATAGATCAGAGGATTTAAATAAACATTCTTCCACTTGAGTCACATAAATGACCAAAAAGCCCCTGAAAATATCCTCCTTATCATTTATTATTAAGGAAAATTAAATTGTAACCACAGTGAAAAAACATTTCACATTTATCAGAAAGACTATAACCCAAAGGACAGGTATATATAAAGGTTGATGAGAATGTGAAGACATTGAAACCCTTATCCATTGCTGGAGGGACTGTACAATGTATAAACTGTTAGGCAAACAGTCAGTTCTTTAAATTATGAAGCATAGTGTTAACTCGTGGCAGCAATCTCATTGCTGGGTGCATACAAGAACTGAAAACACATCCACAAAAAACAAAAAGTGTATGACCAGAGCAATTGTAATTACAAGAGCCAAAGTTTAGAAGCTACCCAAATATCCATCCAGTGAGGAATGGGCAAACAAAATGTAGCATGCCCACATGATAGAACATCATTCTGCAATAAAAAGGAATGAAGGACCAAGATATGTTAAATCATGGAAGACCCGGAAACATGCTAAGTGAAAGAAACCAGAAACTGTACATTGTGTTGTTCCACTTATAGGATGTGTCTGCAACAGAGAAAGCAAGCTTAGTATCTGTCTTGGACTGTGGGGAAGGAGGTATTGGGATGGGACTGTTAATGGTATGGGACTTTATTTTGAGTGGTGATTCAAATATTCTATGTTAGAACAAAAGTGATGGTTATAGACTTCATGGATATGCTAAAAAACACTGAACTCTATATATGAAAACATTAATTATATAATGTCAATTATATTTCAATAAATGTGCTATAAACATTAAAACAATAAGAAAATAATAGTAATAACTTGCTCACCATTCAAAACATCTCATCACATCACATCATACTGATGTGTGGCCATCCTGTAAGCTTTCCTCATCTAGTTTATGCCTGGTGGATGTATGCTTCTGTATTTAGGTCAAATATGCCCATTAGGTTTTTCTCCAAAAATGGTGGCATATTTCTCTCCCACATACACTCAAAAATGTTCAATATAGCTTCAAAAACTATAACAACCTTTTGCTATCATGGGAACTTCTCCCCTGATACATTAACAAGGAAAACATAGGCATTTCTAACTGCTATTAAAAAGTAACAGACATAATGCAGACACATGGTCAATTTAAAATGTTCCTCTACGTCTTCATCAGAGAAAAATATCAACAAGTGAGCAAGGGGTAATAATAATAATAACAATTATTATTATTATTTTCATTGTTATTATTTCCATTATTATTATTATTATTATTATTATTATTATTATTATTATTGAAAACTGAATCACAGTACCTGGAAAGATTGTCAGAAAATATCCAACAGTTTTAAGAAGGGACCCAGCAATGTGCTTCCTGATACCTATTTCCTCTGACTCTTCATTGGGCCAATTCCTGCAGAGGACAATCTCCAATACTGTGCCTACTCTACACTAGAAAAGCTAAAGAGTGTCTCACGTAGAAATTGTTAACTAATGACCAAGCCCAAGTGTTGCTGATATTGTAAACCCAGACCTGGGAGTTTCCTACTTAGTTCTTTGAAAAGACCCAGGTGTTCATTTTAATATACCTCCTAGCTGTACCTCTATTAATTAGGCTGAACTTCCATACTTCTGTGGTTTCAGTGTGTACTCCAGAGTTCATACATTGCAAACTTGATTCCATGTGCCAAAGTATTGAGAGTTGGGTCCTTTACAAAGAGATGAGGTCATAAGGTGAACTGATTAGTGATGTTCTGAGAATGGGATAATTATCACAGGTGTGGATTCCTAATATAAGAATTAGCTTGCCCCCTTTTTTCTATCTTATGTGTTTACTCTTGTCCCAACTGATCATTGTACATGGGATGCAGCAGATGCGACCCTTTGACCTTGAACTTCCCAGATTCCAGTATATTAAGCCAAATAAATTTCTGTTCATCATACATTACCCAGTTGGTGGCATTCTGCTACAGAAACACAAAACACAAAACTCTTTACAGTTTTCTAGCTGAAAACTTTTTCGGTGTACATGGCCTCCCACAAGGCTTTCCCACTGAGTGCTAACCCCATCACAGAAGCTCAATTATCTCTTGCTTAATCATTGCAACTCTCTGACAGTAGGTGTGGGACTCTGACCCATTCCATGTGACCAGTCCCCACTAAAGTCTGACTCTGACACATACTGTTTATGTCTATTGCTTCTGGTCCTGCTTTTCTAACACTACCTGTGTGCTTCAACATCTTGGACCTTTGTAGAGAATTAACTAACTAACCTGCTCTGCATAAATATTCTTAGCTTCCATTTGTCTGATTCATCTTTGGGATCAATAAGTTATAATCAAAATACAAAATCAATTTAAGAGAAAAAAGTTATGTTTGTTTCTTAACAGTTTTATTGAGGCAGAGTTGATATGCAAAATTTCTACATTTTTACTGAATACAATTTATTTACTTTATACCTAGCCAAACACTAGTAATATTACCACCACACTCAAGAAAATTGACATACATATCACCTCCCATAATTTGTTTCCCTTTGCTTTTTTCTTTGTTTTCCTTCTGTTGCTTGTGGTAAGAATACTTTATATCAGATTTTATCTCAACTTGGAAGTTGTTGTTAGCCTTAGGAACCATACTGAACACTTTCAGGACTAGTTTTATCTAATATGACTGATGATTAATGAAGAACTATTCCCTATTTCTCTCAACACCCTGTCCCTGGTTGCCATTATTGTATCCTCTGCTTCTATGAGCTTGACTCTTTTAAAGAACTTAAAGGAGACTCATGGAGCATTTGTCTGTTTGGACTGGTTTATTTTACTTAGGATAGCGTCCTTCATGTTCATTGATGTTGTATAAAATGGCAAGATTTCCAGTGGGGAGAAAATAGTTTTGAGTGTTTATAAAAGAAAGCAGCATGACTCAGAATCATCATAAGGTTGATAAAATATTTCCAAAGTTTGTGTTTCATTAGATTTTTGCTGTATTAGTAGGGTGAAAGAATAAGATGCTCCTTGGTTATCCTGATTTTAGTAAAATATTGGCTAAATCTCTTGTAGTGACCTGATGGACATTAATCAGTTATGTGGTTAAGTGAAAATAGAGAACAATACCTCATAGCTATGTGGACTCAGCTCTTATCTGAAGATAATCATAAGTGAGAAATGTTGAGGGTTTCTCACCATAGGAATTTATATTCAATCTTGTCTTGAAAAAAA